AACACTATAGCAAGCTACACATCGCTATTTAAAACGAAGATCCTAACACATAAATAAAAGTATAAAATTTCATGACAGAAATATGTATATTTTTTTCTATGACAAATTAATTCGTCTAACGGTGAGACACTCGACTTACGCACCAAACAATCAAAATTTTTGGGGTATAAGAATGGTGGTTCCTTTTAATTTAAAGTCCTTATGCTTACACATGTTGAATCCTTCACCTCGAATAAAATTATTTATATCAACTGTATTATCTCATGTTGCATCTATCTATTTACCAACTACCCTTTTAGAGCTCATTAATGTATACTAAAAATCATGCAGTCAGACTTGTTTTTCCTGAATTGGAAAAAAAAAAAGTTTTCAATACAAGATCTGAAAGATAAATAAATTATCAAATCGGGATCTAACAGATTCTTTTTTCAGTCAGGGCCTAAATGTTAGTATAAAATTATTAAATTAAGTTTTAGAATTAACAAAATTCATAACGCCATTAAATTAAGAATTAATTGGAAGTTTTAAAATACTAAATCTGTTACAAAGTAAAAAATAAAAATAAATAAATAAAAAAAAAAAGAAAATTAAGGAAAATATGAGATTGTTGGAGAAAATTAACGAAAGTATGAAGCTCTTGCTTGGTTTTCTTGCTATCGTCTATTTCTTTTTTTTTTAGAAATATTATGCAAATGTTTAATTATTATTTTTTATGTGAGTTAGCACCAATTTTTTTTTTAAACACTCAATTTAATGGTGCTATGGTTTTGTTAATTATATGACTTAATTTGATAGTTTTATAACATTTAAGTCTCGAACTGAGGAAAAAAATCTTTGAAGCTCTAATTTGATAGTTCACCCATCTTTCAGGTCTAGTATTGAAAAAACTAAAAATAAAAAAAAAAATGAAAGGATGCATATTTATATTCAAATATGAAAAAAAAAAAACCATTAAATATGTAATTTATTCAATTAAGCTTGTAATATAATATAATATAATATAATATAGATCTTCAATTAAGCCTTTGCTCAAAGAGCACGAGAAAGGGACATGGATTGAGAAGAGACTTATCAAATAATGAATCAATAAATTCAATGTTTTTATTTATTTCTTGTTGTAATTATTGATTATTTATGTCCTAAATCTAGTGATAATTATACAAACTTGTCCGGAATGAATGGTGCTAATTGAATCACGTTTCAACTTTCATCCTTTGTTTCAGTGCTACTACTGTGCGCCCCGGCACACCTAGCAAGGTGTGCCAGAACGCTTTAAAATTAATATGTTACGTTACAAAATAAACATGTGTAAATCATATATTTACACATGTTCATTTTGTAACATAACATGTTCATTTTAAAGCAAGGTGTGCTAG